AGCATATATCCTTCTCATATTGCCCAGCTGATAATATATATGTCCGTCGTCCTGATTACATTCCTATACCGGGCAAAGAAGTGGATACTGGAAGTGCCATTCGTTTTATCTTGGACGTTTCATCCGGGGACGAAGGGTGCGAGAGATCGGATGCTCTGAAATTGCCCACACTGTCAACTGATCTTTAAGGCACGAGTTGAACTCGTTGGATACCTCTGGATGCACTGAACTATCAATGCAGACGAGAGAAGAACATGAATACCACCAGTATATTCATTGAAACGAGTTCTCTAACCTGTCTTGCCTTAATCAGTGTGCTCCAATATCAATCTGCTCCGGTAAGACATCTTCGTACCCACTGCAATTCGACCGCCCTCAGAACAAAGTCGCTACTAATCGTCACCGTCACCAGCAATGAAGACAAAATATCACATAAACGGTCTTAAGAAAACTCATTCGATCGCTGCATCGGCTTGATGAACCGCATACGCCTGAGGACAAGTGCCCGAATCTCCTCACGCGCATGTTACATACCGACAGCACCTTAGGACTTCCGGTATCACAGGAGCCTCTTAGGCATTATACGCAAACATAGAGATATAAAGTAAAAGAGCACGGTGCTGGTCTCGCGCAAACAAACACGCTAAGAATATGTACGGGCCTCCTTGGTCAAATGCTTGTGCATGTCAACTATGAGGATCAACTGAAAAATTACACACGCAACAATCCTGTGATTTCGTTTGTTTATACGGTTTCGACGAGTCGCGTTCTATATAGGAATGAGCACACCTACCTCAAATGGCAAATAAGCTTCTCGGAGCCTTGTTCATTTGGAATTGAGGATCAAAAAGTGTGTGGCAAGCATAGACGGGGCTGCTGTCAGGCACTGCGTCTAACCTCATCAGCAGTCACTTGACCCACGTGCAGACAAGCCACTGGTACACGGAGGAGAGGGAACAGATGATGCTGATCCTGGGTAGATTTTCCCTCCGGCAAATAGGCTCATTCAGAACTATAATAAGCCTAACTATTCTAAGCCGGTCCCTACACTCCAGAGGCCGCGGTTTGAACTGAAACTAAGTGACCGGATAATTCGGTTGTCCTTTGGGATGAGGGTCGAATTGCAACGGCATCTTACTATGGCGCCATGGCACACAATAATTCTCTGAAATTCGGATCAGTATGTAGTAGAACTAGACGCCAATTGCGTCCAGTCGAACTGACTTGCGCAAGTCGCATGTTTATTAGACAAGAAAAAAAGAAGTCGATTAGTTTCCGATTCGGCGTCTATTTCCTCACCGTAAACAAATAATTGCGCACAGAAGTTTTCGTATCATATTAGCAGTTATCATTGAGAGGGTTTTCTAATGATTACAGCTGTCAGCCCCACTCGGAACTGGCGGCCAGGCTGCAATAGCTACTTCCTAATATTGGCGTTTTTCCTTTAACTTACTTAGGGTCCGAGGACCCCTGAATGAAGCCCGGTACGTTTGGAGGCAGGTTAAAAGTACGCAACCACTACTGTCTACTTCCCCGATCTGGTTAATCACCTTCAAGGCCAATCGTGCTGAGACACATCGGGCTCTGCCCAGCTCGGGTACAGACGTACGCTCGTCCGACAATCAACTTTCTCCTATTTATTCTCCACTACTTCTGTATAGAATACACTATTCCTTTCACCTGGCGCCTTATTTCTTCTTTTTTTCCCTGCGGATCTGGGCCTGAAGATCGCACTGACAAGGATTTTACCTATGAAATTTATCCACTGCGATACTGGCGACCGCGACGTGAACTGAGCTCGCGAATTCTAGATATGACTGAGCTCTTTGATTGCATAACCTCATTCGACTGAATTTTCCTGTGTCCTCTTTTATGACCACGATAAGGAGAATTTAATTACCAATATCCTCTCTTGAAGCGAAATAGAGATTATCAACCATTGTTAGTCCATGGAGCCCAGACCATTGGTTCTTTTCAATCCAGCAGAGCAGTCCCTCTATGAGTACCAGCACCCAGACCTTCCCAACATATGATCTCACTTCTCCTGTGAACGGTATCTCTCCTCACTCCACTCAACCAATACTGACACGGCATACCGATTTGTCAAAGACGTAAAACTCAACTACCGGTTTCCTCCAGCCGCCCCT